CAAGAGCAGTACTGCTCAGTTTACCACACTGATATTTACAGCATAGTCTGAATCTTTCTGTCTCTTGGAAATCATCAATCCTCTTGAAGGTGTGAGCATCTTCTCACACTGTCAGGTTTGAATATTTAATCTAGAGAATGAACTGGAGTTTAAATGCAACTCCTTTGGCAATGAAAACTGCCTTTGAAGTTTTTGGATCTTCTACATTCCGCATTTTCCTGTTTTAAATTAAAAGAACAAAGCACTCTCAAATAATGCACTGCAAGCAGCCTGCGAAACCTGTGTCTCAGACATGAGGAACCAGACACAAGGAGGAGGTCTGGGGGCATTTCATTCATCCTCCCATCAAACAATCTGCCCCAGGTAAGAGCGTGTCTCAGACATGAGGAACCAGACACAAGGAGGAGGTCTGGGGGCATTCATCCTCCCATCAAACAATTTGCCCCAGGTAAGAGTAGTTCAGGTGAGCCAGAACTAACAGGGTTGGTGGTATCCTCAATTACAGGGCAGCCCAACTAACGGCTTCATTAAAAATCCTACTCCAGTCCTTTGTTGATGACACTGATGAAATAACCCACAATAGCCACTGTAGGATGTAAAATTATGATCTCTTGGAAAGCCTCCCCACCCCACCCTGCTCCCCAAAAGCCCCACATTGTTGTCATCTGCCCTTCTCTGAATTCCACAGGTCACTTCTGATCCAGCTTACATAGGCCTTCCATGTTTTCTCACTGTCCTTAGACCATGACCTCTCCCAGCTTCCAGGAGACAACACTTATGATCCTGATTTAACCACGAAGCTTCTTATGCTGTGCCTATTTTTTTCAGGCATGACTAGAAAACTAAGAAGTTGAGATCAACTTGAAATTTACCTAATTGAACCAGTTCTAGAACACTTTTTTCCAGTCTGGACTCGGGCTGGGGATCATTTTAGGGACACTGATGATGAATCTCTCACTCTGAGATGAATGATGTCTTCTCATCTCCATGCACTACACCTTGGAGCATTCAGTGCTAGACTCGAGGCTGTGCTGTCCCTGTGCATTAAGTGGCAAAATGTACAAGGTAGATTCCAGCAGCACAGAGGACAAAAAGCTCAGTTTATCTTTCACCAAAACTATTGCTACTACGCAAGTTTGGACAAGATCAGCTGGTCAGTAGGGATCAGGGAGTTGAGGCTGTATCTAAGTGAGGCAGAGGTGAGGACAGGGAGAGCTGAAGGATGCCTTTGGCCAAGTCTCAGTCTGTAATTTAGAACCACTGCTGACTTGGCAACCACTCTGATTAATGATTTCTGCCATCTCTAGTTCTTGGGGAGATTCTATCCTAGCTCAGTTATGATTTTATAGGGCTCTCCAGTCCCAGCTGGGCTAGAGCAATGCAGTGTAGATGGGCATAAAGCCATTGGTTCTTAGGTAACTGCAGTCTCAGAGTGCTGCAGTATTTCCTCTCAGCAGCTCATGCTCCTGGTAGCACAATGCACCATTTCCTTGGTCTGAAGCACCACTGCAGCTCCTGGGCCAGGGAGCAAGAGCCTGGACTGGCTACTGACTTTTTGGTGACAACTGGTTTGTCAGACTTGCTGACTCAGAAAAAATGTGGAACAGCTTTTATGTAAAAGCATCTGTTGTATTTATAAACCTGCACTAATGCTTGAAGAGAGGTGTTTGAAAAATTGTATATGCCATTTTTAGATGAAGTTTGAAAATCCTGGTGTATATCAAATAGATCATATACTTTGTGTATAATCATAAACATCATGCATCATCATAAAATGCTAAATGTCATTCCACAGCACGTGTATCTTGTATCTTTGTGACAGGAATAGAATGGCAGGAGATGGAAAGAAAGTATTACTCCCACTTTCATTAAAGATTCAGTGGTTGGTAAGGCTTGAATATTACCCTTTAAGTAATAAACCATTTGTCAGAGTGACCGAAGGTCATTACTGTCAAGTTTTTCTTTATTATTATCATTACAATTATTATTTGGCTCTTCTGTACAATTGCACAACTTCACTGTTTCTTTTTATGAGTGATCAGGTGTTGATTCACTGGTAGAAGATTTTGACCAAACTGATTGTAAGACATTTGGGTTTCTTTTTCCTGGATTCCATTAGCTGATCAGAATAACCTCTAAATTGGAATGCTGAAAGTTTAAGGCATCTGAGCTTTTTGCTTTGGCAAGATCTTATAAGTGATATCAGGTGGATCCTATTGGGATGGGAGCTGGCTCTGATTAGGAATGAGGACCCAGGGGTGGGGTGGGAGAGGATCTGTTGATGGTAATGTCCACACCAGCAGTTAGTGCTGTGCAGTAGGAGCAGAATTGTAATGCCAATTACAAAATGCTGGTCCTGAAGACCTAATGTCCACATGAATGTATTCTTGAGGTGTTGGACTAGTTCTGGTTTGGTCCCACATGCTCTTCCAGTGGCTTGAGTGCCTGGAGTGTGCTCCTGGAGAGCTGCTCCAGATTTAGTTACCCCCTGAAGGAATCCTGTTAGTGTGGTCTCCAAGGCAGCACTGTGCTCTATTGGGAAAGCTGCTGATCTGAACTAAAAATTGGTGTAGACACAGCTGTTAAATGTCTGGCCCTATCTCTTGAATAAGTAAATTGAGACCACAGGAACAGGCTCTTGGTGGAAGTGGCAATACTAGTTCTGACTTACTGTTGGATAAAATCAAGGCCCATTAAAAATTATAATATAAAAAAACCCCTTAATGTTGTTGTTGTGGTTTCACAGACAGGAGAAAATAAGGAAGCTCTTTCTAGGACTAAAACTAAAAGAAAAAAGGGAATCAGCATGAAAAGAAGGGAGCAGAAATGCCAGAAACACCACTGCAGTTATTTCTCTATGATAGCTGCAGTAGTTTGACATAGCCTATGATGACTAAGCCACTGGATTCAAGAAGTGCCTGTGTACTGAGAGCATAAAGATGTTATAGTCTTATACAAGTATTAAATGTTTTTATTTTAAAAAAACCCCAAACACTCCACCCACCTTAAAAAAATCCAATTACATGGAATGAAGATGTCTCCTAAGCAGTCTCACTTGGAACATGTGCTGCCAAAGAAGAGTTCATATTGTGAGCTATATTATGATAAGTACATCAACAAAAGGGGGGGTGTAAAGAGAAACTGCTCAGTTTCTTACATGTAATGTGTTTACTACAGGCCCATCTTGAAATTCTGTCACTTAAATCACAAAATTTCTGCTTATTGAGCTGTGTTTTTCAGATAGCTCATAAGCAACTCCTACAAACCTAAACACTTCACAAAATTAGAAGCCCTTAAAGCACTAACACAATTAACTTTGTAAAGTTGTTTTATTGAATGGGAAAAGCTTTTCTAAAAAATATTTTTAGGTACCGTGTTGTTTTTTGTATTTAATGTGACAGTCTTGACATATCTCGGCTTTGCAGCCAATAGTTTATTTGAACCTAAATCTGTGATGAAGGAATTTGAAAATATGGTTTGCTTAACAAGTTCAAGTTATTCTGTATTAACTTGAACATTTAGATACTGCTGGACCTACCTACACTGTCAACAGGAAAACTTCTCAATTCTGGTTAAGCACATTTTCCTCCTGGTCATATTGGCTGTCTAAAATGTACTTGAACTGACTTGTACACCTGGATTTGTTCGTTTCCCTCTTCTGTCAGTTCACTCTTCCGCCCAGATTTGTATTCCTGCCCTCCAGCACAACGTTACTCAGAGACCTCTCATCCTCCTGCACCATCAGGCCAGTGCCTTCCCTCTTTGAAAACATGTTGCTGCAATTTCTACAAATCATGGAAGTACATAATCTTAAAAGCTATTGCTCTGCTCATTGCATTAAATATTCATGTTTCTACCCTTCTATTTCCATCCCTTCTCACAAGTACTTCAGCCCACACTGGGGCACCTTCTGCCGTCGGGGGGCTCAGCGTCCTGTCCTGCCCTCTCAGCAGAACCATGCAATGTCCTGGCAGTCTTTCACTGCCATTTTGGGAAAGGATTAGCTCTTTAATTGTTCTTACATAAATAATAGGCAATCACAGCTTTTATATTGTCAGTGCTTGCTGCAAGCTTTTTTTCCTCAAGCAGCAACCCAAGGAACAGATTTTTACAATTTGGAGCTGCTCAGTCAGTTCGGATGGCTTTTTAATCTCTAGAGGCCAGATGGAAGCATGATCCTTCACCATTGCATGTTTTGCATAATGTATGGATTGGAATTAAATTTTGTTTGCACATAGTCATAGATGTGTAAGTATATAAATATTTTTCCTTTCCATCCATGCATTTTCTCTTCTACTGTTTTGTTTTTTGTTTTTTTAATGACAGCTTTCTACAGGGGAAAACTGTCACAAACAAGCAAATGCTATGCCCTGAAAGAAAAGCTTACGCAGAAGAAAGTGATTTTGGTCAAGGAGATTTGAGACAGAACCTGACACTCAAGTGCTAAGTTTCTGAGACAGATGACGACTTACCTTGGTTCCAGGGCTCTGACAAAACTGCTGTTGGACTGATGTGGATGTTATTTTATTATGTGTTCTGAAGCTTTATTTCAGGCTCTCCTACAATCCTAACTTTGATTTTGGTTGTATTTATGGATTTATTCTTTGCTGTCAACTGCAATCAACTGATTGAAATCCATAAATAATAAACATCAGGTTTCAATTTAAGCTGCAGTAACGAGAAGCTATCGGAAGAAGTTTTACGTACTTTAGCAGCTTTTTATAGCTGCCCACCCCCCTGAGCAAGGTCCTGACACGATCCTCATGAGAAGCAGAGAATGTCTGTCCCCCGCGTTTGTCCAGGCCCATGTGACAAATCCTACATGGCAGAAGGAGAGGACACGCACACACCTGTTTGTGGAAGGGTTATATAAAAAGTCCCAAGATGTATTTTAGCATCTACCAGTAAGATGAGCAACTTGACCTGCTTTACCCCTCACAGGATCTATAATATTAAACTAACAACTAGAAAATAAAAAAAAATGTAAAAAAAAGACATACTAACATGAAAAAACACATTTTATTGCACTTAAGTTATAAGAAAATAAAATTTCTAAGTGAATCAAACCATAGACACAATCCCTTTAAAGGTTGTTTTCCTCCATCATGTCAGGTTGTTACATAACTAAAATTAACCAACTGGAATCTGATTGTTTTAAATCAGACTATAAATAAAACAAAAACAAAAAAAAAGGAGGAAAAAAGATCGCCTAGGATACAGTGTTAAACCACTTTCACAGTTCAGCTTGAGTTGTGGCTCTTGGAGAATGAGGCAAACCATTTGACTCTCTCTTTTCTCATTTTGTTTGCATGTGACATCTTTACAAAAACGTAAGTTTTTGCTCTGTCAGTTCCTCCCAGCAATAACTGTAACAGTTGTTTTTTCTCAAATACTGTAAAACACTAAGACTGACCAGCAACTTTATTTTAATTTTTGTATTTTATAATATTTTTAAAAAATTTTGTCAGTTTTTTTTTTAATGTATGTTCATTCCATTCACCACAGCCCTCACAAAGAAAAATTTCCCCACAGAACAGGCTGCAATAGCTTTGTTCCAAGGAATGTGTTTTAATTTTTGCCCAGAAAAAAGAAAATAAGCTTTGCACACACACTCAATTCTTTATTTGCAGGCAAACTTCACTCTTAATTGTCTGAAACTCTTCCACTCTCAGCCTCTTAGAGGCACAGTTGGCTCAAGTTTCAGTGGCAAAAAGTCTTTTTCTGTAACCAAACTAGAGCAAATTTGGAATTCAGTCTGGGACTAAAACGTCACAGCAGAAAAAAAAATAAAAAAAAATAATTTGCTTTTCTTTCTTTCATTTAGCAGCATAAATAAGTTTGGCCACTGGGAATACAGTACAGGGGTGGGACAACAATCCCGTAATTGAAGACCTACTTCTAGCACCAGCATTGCGAATTAAATCCATCAGAGGACTCTCAAAATCCAGGACAACTTGCCACCTCAGAGCAACTTATGCATTGAAGAGTGTAGATGGAAGCAACAGTAAATAGATTAAACAGAGGCTAATACTGTGATTGACATTGGCAATGGTTGGCAAAAAAAAAAAAAGAGGAATAAAGAAAAAAAAGAAAAAGCTCTGATAAAACTGTACAAAACAATTCACAGTAATATTTTAGCTTTTCCACACCAGGAATGGACTCTTTGTTTTTGTTTGTTTTTCTCATTGCAGATGCTCTCTAGTTTTTGAAAGTCAACCAGTGACTGCTCGTGGAGGTTGGAAGGGACCTTGGAGGGAGTCCGGTCCAACCCCCGGCTCGGAGCGGGGCTGGGGACAGCGCGTTGCTCGGAGGGGCTGCTGGGACCCAGGCTGACCCAGGGCTGCACCAGCAGGCTCGCCTGTGCAGCTTATTTCAAGATCTTTGTGGTAAAATAACCTGTTAACAAGAACTGTAACATTTTTTTTTTCACTCCAAATTACTCAAGAAGCATTTGGAGGAAAGTAAAGAAATTAATTGCACCTGGTTTCATTTCTAAAGTTGGATTTTTGCAAAGCTGCCCCGGTCAAAAGTGTAGCCTTTTTATGTGACGAGACAGCAAAAGCCTCTCTTGTCAGTTATAGTTTGTCATCTTTGTCTTCTCCTTCGTAGTCTGTAGGTCTTTAGGATCTGTTGCCCCAAGGCAACATCCTGCACCACCAAGGACAAGGGATTTTTTTCCTTTTTCTTTTTTTTCTTTTTTCTTTTTTTTTCAGGGGGGAGGGAAAGGAGAACATCGTCTACACGTTTGGACAAATTCATCTTTCTGCCCTTCACTTCATATCGACGTCAAAGTCCAACACCAGCAGCTTTGTTTCCTCAGTCCCGTTGCGGCTCCCGACCGCGCACACCAGCTTTGTGTTAGAAGCTCTGATTCGCCACACGACGCCTCCACTTCCCCCGCTCTCCAATGTGACTAGATTTCGGATAAATTCACCCGTTTTCAAGTCCCAAAGTTTTACAGTCCCATCATCTGAGCTGGTAATTACAAAGTTCTTGTTGAACTGTAAACAGGTCACAGCACTCTGATGCTTGTTGGGACCTGTAAGGGTAAACAAAAACATTTCTTTGTAATTAATTAGAAAGCAATGTCAGGCAGTGCTGCATCTAGAATAAACACCTCGCTATTTGCATACAGCTCTTTCCATCTATTAGAATTATTAGAGAACTATCTGTTATAACTCCTGGGTTTGTACATTGAAAGGTGCAGAAGCCTTGCCATGCTTTCGAGAAGTGAAAACAGGTATTAAAAAATTCCCCAGTATTTTCTTCTTTGTTTCAGTGATCTCATTGTGCTGTATATTGGCATTTGGGCAAACTGGATGTCCATGAAAATGAACTTAACCATCCTCAATGAGGTGACCACTGTAAGAGTTTGTCTTCAAGTCCCTTTGAAGTGTTGTTATGAGATTACTGCATCAGTAAATACCAACAGTCATATGCTGACATATAAATATATATGTTAAAGCAGCAGAGTTTGCTTTACAGGGAAATTTAATTTTCTGCTCCAGCCAGCACTGCTGCATGATATATGAAAATTATTTAAGACCTTTTTTGTGGGGAGAAACATAACCATGTGTTTGTGTGCATGATGCCTGAGTGGCAACTGTCAACATGGAGAAAAAAAAAATCTTTCTTTTTACTGAAATAAAGAAAACATCTTCCACTTGCATCTCTTGATTTATTGCAACAGACAGTGTACTTTGCCTCCTGATCCAATTAAACTGTAGGCTTTGAAACATTCAAGTGACCCCTAAATAAATACATTGACTGTCTATTTTGAGATGTAATTTCCTACGTATTTCTGTGGCTTATTAGGCTAATATACCCATAGCAAATTGCTATCAGTCCAGACCATCTGCCTTTCATAATAGGCAAGTGATTTGAATAGATTAGATTAAATACATTTTGTTCTTCTAGCTCAGAAAAAGATCATACAGCTGTTATCAACAAAATATTTAAGTTTTAAGTGGTCAGTGGTTGTTTCTTTGTACGTAATTATTTTACAGTTTCTTTATATAAAATCTGCAGTACAGATAACTGTAGGCTGCTTGATTGGCATGAAGGTAGTTTAAACTTACCTTGCAATGTCTGTAAACATTGTCCTGTTTTAATGTCCCAGATTTTGACTGTAGAATCAGCATTCCCAGACACAAGTATATTGTCCTTGAGTTCCATTCCACTTGTGAGTGACTGGTGGCCTGTCAGAGTGTGAATGCAGTTGCCTGTCTCCACATCCCAAACTCGGATGGAAGTGTCAAGAGATCCACTCACCACATGGATACCATCAAACTACAAGAAAGGTAAATCTATTACAAACAAATATATTAGGACCTTACAAAGAAGGTTATTAAGCATTTCATTCACTAAATGCAAGGTTAGATACTATATATATTCAGAAACATTTTTGCAGAACAAAGGAAGAACTCAGTAGAGATGGCCACGTTTGATCCTACAGCAGGTGCTTCATGGTTAGTGCAATTTTCTGTTGAAGACATGTGGGCTCTTGAGGGACCTGGTTTGAAGAGACTCTGAGCCACAGGTCTTTGAAATGCAATATACCCCCTTTAAACAGAGCAGATCCTGACCACCCTGCAGCGTGCAACAGTAAGAGAAGGTATTTTTCCTAAAGAAGATGTTAAAAAGCCAACCCTGCTTTTTACAAGTCAGAGGGAGTTTAAGCAGGAGAACAACAACAACATTATTCCAGACTCATCTACACAAAAGTCACAACATAAGAAAATTGAAGGAAGTGTAATGGAAAAATGTGGAATTTAGCTTTTTGTAACCCTAATTGTGTACAGTAAGGAAGTGTAACTTTCCAGTCGTTGTAGGGAAAGCATACAGGCTAAGATATGAGATGCTTTTGACCAAGAGGACTAACCATGTAGAGAACAGAAAGGTGGAAAATAGCTTGAGCTATAGTGACAATGACATAAGAGTCCAGGGTTCTCAAAAAAAGGAAAAAGCAGTAGAATACTTAAAAACCCCTAGGCTTCATTCCCATGAGGATTTTATGTATCTATTCTCTGAGGAGAAGAAGAGTTCAGGACAGTTGGCAGTTTCTTAAAGGCACAAACTATCCTGTTTAAAAGAAAGATAGGAAGTGTTGTAAATTACTGAGAACCACTTGGCTAAACCACAAGGAATTGTACAAAAACTAGAAACTAGATCAATAGATGTGTATAAAAGAGCACACTGGGACAAAAAACCAGAAAGGCAGGGCACAACATAAGATAAAACTAGCAAGAGCCATTTTACTATTGTGTAAAAAAGTCCCAACCAAAAACATAACAAAACAAAACAGAAAAAAAACCCACCAAGAGGAAGGCCAAAAACCCCTCATTTATCCTCAGTGGGAAGGAAACACTGATTGAGGCCAGCTATTTAACTTCTTTTTGTCTCAGTCCTCAGCCATGTGAGCGTAGGCTCACAGCACAAATGCCAATGACAAATGAGTACAAGCTTTTGCTAGAATGAGGGAACAAAATCACATAAGGGAAGTTGTTTTAAGACAGCCTCAGAGACATCTGCTGCTATCTTTGAGAACCCATGGAAGATAGACAAATTTCAGATAGCAAATACAATTCCTTCCTTTATTGAAGATGATGGGATAGGGGAATTATGGATCAATCAGCCTAACTTCAATTTCCACAAGGAACTTTTAAGCGTTTTGTAATGTGGCAAGTAGCAGCAAACACAGATTTGTGTGAAAACTATCTTAACCAATATGATTTTTTTTCCATGATGGATTAAAAAGCCATGTGAAACAGTGAATGTCTTGGTTGCATTTTCAAAGAAGGAGACAAATGTGAGGCAGGGATACTATTACTTTGTTCAGAGTACTATCAGAGATACCAGAAAGAGTTTCAGAGAGGTCTGGCATTTACTATTTTCGTTAGGATTGGAGTGACATTTGAAAGAGCAGAACTGACCAAAGGCAAAGAGTGTAAAAGTGAAGTGAAAAGTGTGAAGATCTGAACTTGGCAGGGAATGAATGAAGGTACAGCTGCAGACTGGGAGAAGGAGGTTGGACAGGAGTCTTGGTTATATTTAAGGCAATCTGACACTACTTGTCCATGTGGACTGACTGGTGCCTGATAAGGCAAGGAACAAACCCAGTTAAGGGAACTCAGCTATCTGGGGCTGCTGCTTCTTCTAAGACCTGCAGCAAATGAGTATCTTAGATCTCTGCAGTCAGACATGCTTGGCCAATGCACCTAGATTCAAAAGAATGGAAAGTGACTGGCACACAGACTGCTTATCTGCTGTATGCACTGCATTCCTGGTGAAAATACACTAAAGACCCTCTGGTATCTGAATGGAAGGCATAAAAATATCCTTTCACTTCTAGCAAGCATTGATAAGACTTCGACTGGACCCTCTTTTGGGTCCCCTGCTTTCAAAAGAGGATGGGAAATAATCTGACTACAGATAAAAAGGCAAGGACTGCCAGATAGCCCAACAGACTTGGGAACACTAAAAAATATTTTTCTATCCTAAAAATAATTAAACCCGATTGATGTAACAAATTTTGAATTCTTTTCCCCCTTTCCTGCAAACTAGCTGTATTCCCTGTTCATAAGGTATTCAGAAAGAAAGGTTTAAGGCTGGGCATCCAGAGAAATTGATAGTGCTGCAGGGAAACAAACAATGGTTTGGATCAGTGAGTTATCCATGAACCTTGAAAATCTGTGGGTTACTGCAAAGGCAGGTAAGAAAGAGTAAGAAAACTCAGCATGGTTAGTGGTCTTACACTGCTGCATAAGGATCTCTGGAAAGTATTAGGTCTACACATGGGGAAATATGGAGAGATAACCTGACATGGAGGACAGGCTTATTCCATCTGATTATTCTATTTATGGGAGTTCTGCTGTTTGGGGCTACTTCAGGCTGAAGGACTGGAGCCATTAGGCAATTTTAAAGAATCTTTCTGTTCCAAACCTGCAAGCACCTGTAGCCTCCAGCCTGCCCTCCTCGACCCCCTTCCCCTTTGTTTCAGAACATATTGACGTGCAACACAACCCAGTCATTTGATCCATTATTACTACAGCACCAGAGCAAGACATAAATATTTGTAAGGCAAAACAACAGCCAGTGGTGAAGATAAGGCAGAAAAACATCTGCTCCCAAACTGCCCCCCACAAAATAAATCCTCAGAATATTTTTGAGAGGTAGGTAGCTAGGTAGCTAGGTAGGTAGGTGGGTGAGCATTTTTAACTTGCTTTCTGCTTGTCTAGAGAACACTCCTCAGCATATGAATGTAAGAGAAGGGCTGGAGTTTTTGCTACATACTTTTGGGAAAGGAAACCAATTAGGAACTTTGTTCATATTTAATATATTATGGGGAGATATGAAATACTTTATGAAAAATGTCTCTAGCACTGAGCTTCACTTTCTGAGTCACTAACCAGAGCAGTTACATGCTGAATGCCATTTCCCAATTTTGAACTGTCTTTGTTGATTTCTTTTTCAAGTCCTGCCAGATTGTGGTGTGAACAGGCACAAGCATGAAATTAATTTCTTTTGCCTTTCAATGCCTGGAAGTGATGCTTTGACTCTATGAATGAACAAAATGATGTTTTGGGTTAGTAAAGGTAAGAAGACCAAAGGCATGAAGTCTGTGTGTATCTTTGCCAGCTTTGTGGGTAACTGGTGGGCAATAGTGAGATGCCACAAAGCAGCACCATAATAACCTGCACCTACATTAACATGTTGCTATTGAAACAGCCTCACACTTGTATATCTGGCCTGTACTTAGAGAAGAGGAAGTAGAAAGCTAGAGATTTACATAGGATCATTAAAATTTTAGGTTCAGCCTTACTGTGAATTATAGTTTAGAACTGGAAGATGGAACTAGAAAATGAGGATAAACAGATCTCCAGAAATCAGAACATTAATCCAATAGGGTTTTTGGCACGCTGTCAATTGCTATATCCTCTGATTTATTTAAAACAGTAAGTTTGGAATTTCTTGAGGAAAGCAAAAACATAACTGCAAAATACATGCAATATTTGAAAAAAAAATCTCAATCAAACAACCATCCACCTACAAAACAACGTAATTTGCTGGTATAGAGATATGGGCTTTATTGTACTGGGTGCTTTTAAAAATGTTACTCTAAAAAATTTCAGTTTCTAAATTAAGACAACATATAACTAGTGTAAAATGAAAGAGGGGTTTATTACAGATATCTCTGTATGCTTGTGGTCTGTACAATTCTGTACTAGGTACCCATAATTTAATAAACAAGATGAAACAAACTGACTTTAAATATTACTTAAGGAAACTAAAGCAGCAGATAAAAATCACATACCTGTAACGAGTAGACTCTGTTAGTATGCCCTTGCAGTGTGTGCAGACAGGTCTCTGTCTCTGGATCCCACACTTTGACCATAAAATCATATGCACCACTTACAACCCTTCTGCCATCATATTGAACGCACCGAACTGCAGCGACGTGGCCCATCAGGACATGTAAACACTGGCCCGTCTCTATGTCCCACACCCGCAGCGTCGCGTCTCGAGAGCCACTGACCACCCTGCAGCAACGAGAGAACCCTCCTGTACTCAGCACTGCACATGCAAGTACCACAGCAATCCAGCCTGGCTGCAAATGGGTCTGAGTTTTAATTTGGGACGTTAGATAGAGTTGGTGCAACAGCCACCAAAGTTCTGGCTTGGTGTGACATTTTAATGGGGTCTCAAACGACTGGAGTGCTCTTTCTTCTTCCTTGCTCTACTCACCTCCTCAGGATCTGTCTATTTGATATAATTAGCAATCAATATTTTAAAAGGCACTACATTCCTGAACAACAAAACAATGCCATGAGAAATTCTGTGGACTGCTGTATCTACCTATGAAAGCTTATGAACATGGTGAGCTCCAGCCAGTGCTATGAGCATTCTGTTTTAATAACTGAGTTGACTAATTATAACAAATAAACAAAGATCTTTAGAATTTCACTTTGAGTAAAGTAACAGTTATTTGATTTTTCTTTCAATTTATATTTCTATAAGGGTTTTTAGGCAATAACAGAAATGAGATGGAATGAACATTAATGGAATTTACACAGAAAAACCTCATTATTCTTCAAAAAAGAAGAAATGCAACCAACAATCTGTCAACAACTCTATACCACAGCCAAGTAACAGAGCTTTGCTAATGTTTGTTGAATCAAGACATGATTATTGCAAAAATTATGTTATAATCAGTTAAATAAAATACTGCAGTGACAATACTTAGAAGGTTATTTGGTAATATGAGTAAAAGTTTGTTACATTGACAAAAGACAAAATTATTCCGTGTGGGAGACTGGATCATGGTGTAACAAAGAATTAGCTTTGAAATAGCGCAGACTGTGACTTTTTGAAGTACATGACTCAATTTCCAGTTCTTCATTTAGTATTCTCATGCTTCTGCTCCTATTAATCATCTCCTCCCCTGTGTTGATTTATGTTTTGCCTGGTCTGCATTCCACTCGGTGCTGGATGAGGTCTCCAGGTTTCAGGAGCACTTTCTGTGAGCACGAGTGTGTAAATGCAGGGCCAGGCTGTGGCTGCAGCTCTGCAGCAAGGCTCACCTTTTCTCGTGGAGGTGCATGCAGCGCACGGTGGAGGTGTGTCCGTACAAGGTGTGGATGCACTCCCCGGTCTCGGCGTTCCAGACTTTCAACGTTCTGTCTGTAGAGCCGCTGATGATGATATTATCCCTCATCTGTGATGACCACACTCCGCCTGTGTGTCCAACCAGTGTTCTCAAACACTGAAAAGAAACATTTTCCTTAGTTACCCTTTTGACACAGGGGAATGGGTACTTTAAGAAAAAGCAATCTTGGAGGTAAGAGTCAGCTCCCACAGCAAGAGCCAGAAGACCCCTGGAGACTTCTTTCTGATCCAACAAAAAAATTCCCCTCTTTAAAAAACACTCATCAAATTTCTCTATAAATTATTGTTACTTTAACCATAAGGAATTTTTCTTGTAATCTTTCCCTTGACAAACTAAGCTGTCTTTCCACGTTTCTCAATACAAGGACATGTTCTGCAGTCCTGAGTCATGTTCTTGGCATTTTTCTGAGTCACTGCAGGATTTCCAATAGCTTTTTGAAGTGTGTTAGAAGTGGAAAGAGCACACACTTGGTAGTTTTACCACAATCTATAAACTATATATTTTTGTTGTATTTTTCTGTTTGTTTATCCAAGAAACACTGCTCTCTGTAAACCACAGCTACAGCATCACTCCTGCAAAACCATGTTTCAGACCTTTTTCAGGCTTTACTGTTGCCCAGGAGAGAATCTCACACTACATAAGCACAGCCTACCTTCTCTGATCCCAAATGTATGACATGATTTCTCACCATGTGCAGACAGTGTTTGCTCACACCTCCTTCTATAAAACCCCTGTCGGCCCGGAACAATGGCTTGTCTCTGTCTCCCAGCCTGTTTTCCCTACAAGTAATCACTATATATGCTTTCCCACCAGGCAGCAATAAATGCTAATTAGTACAGACAAGGAAAGATCCTTGCAAGACTCCTCTAGAAAGATACTCCATGAAGATTCTACATTTACTTTAACAACATGATCTCTGTAATTACCCATTTTCTAACCCATTTAAATATGTGCCATGTTGATTTTTGCATTATTCTATTTTCTTCAGTTCTGTCATGGGGATAGAGTCTTTCAGTGCACACAGCCATCTACTTCTGCACTATTATTTTTATCAGTCAAACCTGTAACTGCGTGAGAAAAGAGGTCAAGGCAGTTTGAGGATCTCTTTTTCTGTAATCTAATGCTAAGTGGCATTAATTGCCGTGGCCTTCCTTTAACTGTTAGCTGACTCCTCTTGACGCAGTCCAACATTTTTCAGCTGAGATAGTGTATCCTAAATACCCAGTCTTTCAGGTTACTCCATTTAAACATGGATGCATTTTGGCCTTCTAACTGTCCTGTCCTGGATCTTGTAATCATACCTTTTGAAAATGCATTAATATTAAGCCAAAGGTTACTTCAGGGGAAAAAAAAATCTAATACAGATTATCTGGATCAACTCTAATAAGAAAAACCATAACTTCAGTAGTAAGCATGGGTTTCTGCTGAAATGTTCTATTATCACTGCATGCTGCATTTCCATCACATGAATTTTCTTCCAAAGTATTTTTCTGCATCAGTGACAGCATAGTAATTCCTGTTGTTAATATCCTGTTCTTTCTACCATCCTTGAAAATGGTTTGGTTTTTTGTTGTACTCTTCTTCAACAATTTTTAAACCAGTTTTCTGCAATTACTGGCTCCTGGCTTAATTCACTGCTATCAAATCCATCTTTTTCAGTTCATAGCTGATGTTCATTTCTACAGTTCTCTTTTTTTCTTATTTCATCCAATGTGCTCATATTTTAAGAAATCATCCTGTTAAAGCAGTAAGAACACAGAATTCTTATTTTGGGCTTTACATCTGTCAAGGGAATTATTTAGTCATGTTCATTTGCACAAACCAACCTTTAGGGTTTCTTTATTTTATTAATTCTTCAGCATCAGTAAGCATGAGGGCTGATATAGCATGCTTCCATCTTTCAGACACAATTTCTGGCTCTCTTAAAGGTTTGGGGTAAATGGCCACACTAGGTTTTGTAATTACTTTCAAAAAATTACTGAACAGTAATTGTTAAGTCATGCCACTGTGCTTAATTTGATATATTTAAGGGAACATTTTGCTTTTAGGAGTGTGGTATGTACAAAGAAAGTATTTTTCATTAGTGTTTAGGTTGCCCTTTTCAATTAAAATAGATGTAAATTTCATTATGGGATCCTTCATTAGACAGTTTGCTGCCAACAGCAGCAGGGTGAGGCTGCCTATGGCTCTTCATTTTATTCTTACCCACAGTAGGATTAACAATCCCTTCAAGGATCTTCTGGGCATGCAATGACAAATGCTGAATACATTCAGCTTCCACATTATGAAGTGGATACCTTTTACATCTTAGACACCTTATCCTCAGCAGCTGTCCTGTTGTTATCTATACCATTAAAACCAAGCTAAGTGCACACAATACCAGTCTAAAAGGAAAAAGTGCTGTTTCCCCAAGGCCTTTTCTACACCCTTGGTCGGTCAGTCACCTCAACAAAAAAAACTGTGCGCTGAGTAGCTGTGATGTTCTAACATGACTGAAATGCTCAGCACTGTCTTTTTGATTGCACATATTGTTTTGCTCCTCTAAGCCAGAATTAAATTATTGAAGCTTATTAAATTCCTACCTGAGCTGGATCTAATTTAATAGGAAATATTTAAACCTAAAGCAAGTTAATTTTTTTTTTTTGGTGGCTCAGCAATATAGTAGCTTGGAAAGAAAAACAAACTCTGTATTTGAAATCTGAGCCAGTAAAATGAACACTCCATTGCAAAAAATTTGAAAACAATAAAAAGAATGCTAGAAGATAAGTGAGAAAAAGAGATCCAGAGTGGTAAAGCCTAAGTTAAGCTTTAAGGAAGATAAAGTAATGTTTCTGTCCAAATTCTTTAAAATCCGTGTCACAAACGACTCCACAAGAATAGCAGAATTGCCAAGAGAACAAGGATATATGCTAGTGGTAACATGAGCAGCATTGCAATTTCACATCAAGGTGACTTTTTTGAACTGGAGGAGTTTCTGTGTGGGAAAAGGCAACCCACATGTTTATCTGGTATACCCAGAGCACCAAAGGCCACCCTGCAGCACGGTCTGATGGCACAGCAGCATTTCTGCTGTGGCACTGCTCTGCCTGTGGCTCGTTTCCCAAGGACTGCAGCAGAGCAGCCGCCTCACCTTGCCTGTCACTGCTGACCACACTTTGAGCGTGTTGTCGTCGGAGCCGCTCACGATGCGGTTCCCGCAGAACTGCAGGCACGTGATCACGTGGTCATCGTGGCCCTTCAGCACCTGGCAACCAAGAGCACAAAAGCAACAGTCACCATTTAATGCAGGAGATTAGAGAAGCAGGAGAAACAAAGTGCTCTTCTGATTCATAAATTACAAAATGCTAGAGTTGCTTCAGTAATAATAAGGCCCCTTAATCCCGTGTGTCAAGTCTAATTTACCGCCAGCTGGGACCAAAGAAGGTGTTTCCCTCCTTCCATGGAGTGATGCTGCATTGCTTAGCACACACACTACAGCTACTGCAAACCTCCTGAAAGTACCAGGAAAAAGCACTAACAAAAGTGGTCTGAATTAGTAACTGGACACTGCTCTATTCCTCTGTAGTTATTGCATCTCTTTATTTTTCAGTTGATTTTCAATTTACTGTTACCTTTTGTTTCAATCTTGAATGAAAAGGATGGGCTGATTATTTGCTGAGTATTTGTATTTCAGTGGTCAAGGCTGACTACATCTATTTTTTTCCCTTATCAGCCAAGCATTGTATTTTGTTAAATGCCAGTCAGCACCAAAGTCAAAAACTGGAAAAGAAAACCATCAACTCAATTAAATGGAAACAAAAGCAACAATTCCATGTGCTGGGGATGGGGACTAGAATGTTGCTTTATAGAGGTGGGATTTTCAATGCTTGATTTTGGAAAAACTGTAATTCTGTATCTCTTATTGCAATACAGCCAAAAAAAAAATTCCTTAGTAGAATACATAGGATGAAGAATTTTTTATTTAAGATATCCAAACATTTTTAAGATGTTTGTTGAAATGAAATGGCATTTGGATAATGCCAGAGGCTGTAATTTTAATAATAATTCCAAGATAACTTGATGTGGCATATCAACGCAAGAAATACAGAACCGTTGCCAGAGATGTACTTAAGTCACAGCCAAATAAACAGCAGGATATAGCCATAGGTTTTCCAAGGGAGTTCTTTTGTTCTTATTTTGTTATTTTTAATTAAGAAAATAGGTAAATTGCCTTAAAAACTTAAAAAGCCACGAATATCGGTTTTCTTGACATTTCGGCTGCTTGTTCATTATCAGGTTTGATTAGAGAGTTGCTATTTTATTTACAAAAGGTTTGAAATATTGCTTCATGTCTTCACATTTGGAAAGGATGCAATGATAAATATCAATGTCATTAAAATAATTTTAACATTTAGAAAACCCCACAGACATCTTAACACAGAATGAAGTTACTGTCTTGTACTGCTCAATTAAGAATATATTTAAAAATAAAGCGTGTATTGATCACAGAACAGTCGTGGAATGTTTTTAGGCTGCAACACGACCCAGCTCTACCAATACATATGTATACACCTAAATATGTACAATATATGTGCCTGTGTGTTTAAATATAAGTATTTCAAATCAAATTTCCATGATTAACTGTCTCAAGAAGACCGGCATATTTATAGAATTCACAAAATCGTACAGAAATTCTTAGAAGAGCAGTGAAAGGGTTCTGCAGTATGAAGCATTGCCAAAATGGTGGTCAGAATATAATTTAAAGCCACGGTAAGCTAAAACACGAATTATTTTTTTCCGTAGCAATTCCCTGCTTTTTGTGCATGGATAATCTTGTTTGTCCAAAGGAGAGAAGCCGAGCCACGAGCTGATCCCGCTTTGTTCACGGCCCCGTGCACAGAGCTCAGAACCTCACCTTGGGCGATTTCAGCTCTCCTCGCCGCCAGTTGGTATCAATCCTGTGCTGTCTGATGTAGGCGCTTTTCCACGGACTGTGTATAAAGCCTGGTTTTATTACTTTCCTCCTCTTGATATGCAATGGTTCATCAATCCCTAAAATGGAATTTTAAAAAGGGGTGGGGGGGGGAGGGGAAGAGATTAGGCCACCCAAAGAAAACACTTTCCCTCCCAAACCTTTACTGTGACCCCTGACATTAAAATATGGCGGAAATGTAACAATCTCCTGCATGCCAACATTTGTGTGTCAGTGACACCACCCTGCTCCTCAGAGATTTATACTCTGTCTGTCCTTGTCACTTCAGCATAATCATTACCATAATCACAACTGAAAATGCTCTAGTTCATCATTCCTTGCTGGCAACCTCCTAGCTCGGGTTTGGATCCCCCTTTCCGAGACAATGCAGCAGAATATTGCCTTTTACAAATGGGTGCTGTCCAAAAACCTCCTTAACCACTTATATGCTTATTCTGGAACAGTTGGAGAAGTCAACCTTTCTGTGGTTCTCCACTCTGATCACCCATCTTCATTACCTTTAAGTTCACTGTGACTCCTGGTATTAGTGAGCTTTTAATTACTTTCTTGATCTGAAGGGCTGAGTGCTTTTGGCATTGTCCTCTCTTGGCTGGAATTTAAGTATAGCTGTGCCCTTTCTGACTTGACACTTAAGCAGTAGAGCTTTGTTTTACCTTTGCTACTACAGATACAGCTTTTTTTACAATTCTCTCACCCTGCTCTCTTTTCTATGCAGCTCTTCTCTCCACTGCATTTCATTACTGGCAGGAGACTTGTGTCTTGCCAGTATGTGGATTTCACTCTTCTGCCTTTAACCCCCTCTCTGCCTGCAATCTTGAATTAAGGACTCCTTCGTGTTACTGAGGCTAAGCAGGCTGCAATACTGGCCTGCTTGCCTGTGCTCTCTTGCCTGGATGTATTTATTCTTACTTGTAAGCTCACAAACGTAAGCTCATTCTCCTCTCAACGTTCTCCTTTTTTCTCACTCTGTCCTTTTAATGCATTTTCACTGAATTTTTTAAGAGGAGAATCTTTAGAGAAGATTTAGAAGGTCAGACACCTGCTTTCCATCACAAAAGAAAACAAATTAGGTGCCCTCACAAATAGCCAGCTACAATTGACATAGTTTTGTTTTTTGAAGCCTTTGCATCAACCCCACAGAAGTCCTTGTCTCCATAATCCAAGGCAGTCTGGACAGGGTCCTATGTCCAAGATGCTCTGGGATCACATGTATGTGGTCTTCTGCACCCCCCTTTCCCCCTGGCCCAAACAGACTCCTTGCTCCTATAATTATCCTTAAAAATAAGAGCTTGCACTCTCCATGTACACAAAAATACACAGCTGCTTTCATGGGAGCCTTTTTGCCCATTCATATCAGTGCAGGAGCACCATATCTTCTTGAATTGGCATGAGCAGGATAATATCCATGTGGCTAATGGACTGTGTGTCCCTCTCCAAGCAAACCTTTTAGCACCTTCTCCCACTACCATGCGCCATCTCTGCCTTAATTACCCTACAAGTGATGTGAAATTACAGCAGCCTTTCTACCAACCACTGAAACAGCTTTTCCTCCACGCTGCAACTGCCAGGCTATGCTCCTATCATTTTTACACCTCAGCTGTTATTTCTTTTGGTTCCATTTTGAATAAACACAATTCTCAAAAAGCAATCCCAGCTGTATTCTAAAAACATGCAACTAGCATACTTTACAAACAAGACATTCAAGCCTAAACTCTAGCACTCCATGGATTATTTCTATTTCCTGCTTTCAACAGAGATACATACCATGTAGCTTAAAGCAGAACTAGCACTAAATCTAAAGTCACATGAATTGCCTTTGTAAAACTTTAAGCTTACTATGTAAATGAACTGCACTTTTTATGATGGCAACACTTCGACCATTACATCCATCATTTTGCTCAGCCTTACCCTCCTCTTTGCATTTCTCTCTCCAGAGAAGATTATCTTCAGCCAGAATTCTCCAGTAACGACAAGTCTGGGCTGCCTGTAGAAGGTCCCTGGGTTCCAGGAATGACAGCACATACAGTGCCAGCTGTAAAAAATAAGAAGGAAGTGTACTTTCTGCACTGCTTTTGAAGAGAAAAGTGAAATAACTCCATTTACTATCACACATCAGGGGCTGAAATACAGAAAATTGGAACGATAAATTATTAAACAATCTCTGAAACTTAACAGACTCCAGTGTATTCCTGTGGGCATGTGGAAATATAACAATCATCCTAAGTAACTAAATCCTTACAGATCATATCACAAAATTATTCTTGCATTTGCAAGAAAATAGGAATCAGCTGAAATAATTACTACGTTTTTAAAAAATGTAAGCCACATTACTTTGAATCATTACAAGAATTATTATCAAAGTAATTATGTCTATATTATTTTAGCTAACAATTGCAACAAAAGTTATCTTCAGAGTTGAACTAAAAAGTACAGTGCTCACCATGTGAGCAAATAGGGATGTACATTGTGATGAGTAACATCAGTCAGAAAGCCCAAATACAGAACAAGTAAATGCTACATTCCCCAGAGCTCAAACCACTCTGCAGCCATAGGAAAGGCAGTGCAGGTATTGCTCATTTGCTGATGAGAATTCAAACACACTCCTGGGTGGAGTAACACAGAGCTTTATGGACTGGGATGCAGTAGGATCAAGACACATCACTTTAGTACAGCTTGTTACCAAACCCTTGTTAGGGCAAATCCTAATGAGCACCAGAAAGTAAATGGAAAATGAGTTTTTCCACGTGACAGAACTGAAGTTTATTGGGAAAAAAATTAAGATCTTCTCTGACTGAGCTAAGCCATGTAGTGATGACAATAAAGCCTCCAATATCTCTACGAAGCCTTTAACAGAGGCATAAATCACAAACCAGAACACAAAGACAACTATCATTAAGGGTGTGATAACCAAGTACAGCTTTTCTACTTGACAGCAACAATGCAACTCCCTAGTCATGGGAAATAAGTGTAAGAAAGTCACAGGAAATGCACAGAGTCCCTAAAAACTCTGCAGAAAGAACAGTATTGATAAACATTAATGCAGAGAACTACTAACATGCTCACAGTGGGGACTTCATCAGTAATTAACAGAATGCAGAAGCTGTCAAGGAAATCAGATCACCCCCTTTTACTTCTGCTTGCCATGTATTTTGTTTAGAACTTTCAATTTAATTTTTAGCTGAAGTTTTAAGATTAGATAGATAGATAGATAGATAGATAGATAGATAGATAGAAACAGAATCTGCCCTTCAAAGCAGCAAAGACTGAAATTTACTGAGGAAGTTATAAGTGCAGGCTGTTGACCTCAAAAGATTTTGGACTTTATTTTGTGAGAAACATTTAGTAATCTAGACAAGCTGGTGACTGAGCAGGAAATAAAAATTCACCACGTCGCAAGTGCTTGCATTTTGGTTGCACACACACCATGTTTGCAAGTCATCACCTGCAGCTCTTGGGGAGCCCACAGCACTCCACATTAGAGGCACCTGTGCTTTAAATGACGTGTTAGATCCTGTAGGCTCCCCAGGCCACAAACCTGAAGAACCTTCTCTCTTTATTCAGGGAGTCAGCATTTGGGATCTGGTGTAAGGCTCTCTATTAAAGGAGCAACAGCTGTACTGGTCCTTTTAGACCTTCTGTCTCCATTTCTGGCATGTGAAATTACTGAAGAAGTGTTGTTTCCTAACACACATCACACAGACCTGCATGTGACAAAACTCAAACATGACACGGTCCCTTTTCCATTTTTTGCCTAATGTTCCTCAGTTGACAGCAGTTTGTTTAAATATTACTTAAAAATTACTATCTATACAGACACAGACATTTTCTAAGCTGGTGTTAATTAAACCTATGAGCCAACTGATTCTAAACCAGGTTAAATATGGGTAACATTTATTTTAGACTACATTTGTCTAAATAGTCATCAATGGTCAACACAGCCCGCAGCTGACTTTAGGATTAGCAGTGGATAAAAGATGACATCCCTTTGTCTCAGCTCATGGATCTAGTTATAAGAAAATTTCAGGTAGCAAAGATCTGACCTTTGACTGAACTGGATTTAGGACTACTCTCTGCTGAAGTATTAATAACACCCAACAGAGTAAGCAGCTCCTTGCCTTTTTCTTCATTACACACACAGACAGAACCAACAACATTTCTATGACTGATTTCAGCAGAACTCTTTATCTACTGGTGTATCAACCTGATTTTCATAAGTAATTTGAATAATTATTTCTAAAGTCTCAGCAAGAAAACAAGAGTATTTATTTCATATTAACTGTTTGACTGCTGTTTTCTCGGGAGGAAAACAAACATTTCCATGGTTATTTGTCTTTGCATTGCAGACAATGGTTTTGAAGCAAAGCCCTCCTGTCCACATCATCTTCCTGTTCTGGTTTGGTAATACAATCAGTGCATAGCATCCAACAGCACTGGAGCTAACCACAGATGTTAATGCAGAGTGACAGCCCAAGGGAGCGTGTTTTCACAGGATGCTGCCTTTGCCAGGGAAGCCTCCTCATGGAATTACTGACCCCAACAACTCGCTTGTGCCCCCACAGCTCAGAGCATCACCCCCACTGCAGCCAGCACTCAGCAGCTGGGGACAGCCCTGCTGAGGAGATCTGGGCGAGGGAACAGCAGAGGAGATGGCAGAGTCAGCTCCATGGCTTTTTTTAACTCGGGTAATTTTGGTGACAGTGACTCGGGGTTAGGAAGCAAAAATTATTCAAGCCAACTTCACTGGTGAAGTCAGCCTGCCATGAAGCTACACATCATATTCTGGTTTCAAGAGGCAGGAATTCCACCAGAAATAAACAAATTAAACATTAGTAGTTTACAGGGGAGTGAAGAAACCTAAGTGAGGAAGTTTTACTGCTAAGTACTGTATTTCTTCTGTGAAGAAATTGTGAAAACTGAAATTATCATGTGATCTTTAGATACAGTGTAACTAGATCACAGTGAGTATTGCCACAGAATCATGCAAAGAGAACTGATGTCTGAGCTACTGTTATCAATTGTCTGTTAAATTTCCAGACTGAATAGATGCAAAAGTGGCAAAGTATCTTCTGTCTCTTCAAAATATAAATTCTTGTTGCCTTCCTCTGCCTCTGACGTTTTGGGCAGCTTCTCTAGAAATATGGCAACTATGCAGAGGTGCTCTTCTCCTTGCCCAGTGTCCTTTGCACTCCCTGAGAAGGCTGCTGCAGGAATTACTTCTCTAAATACTGATCTCACATCCTGTGTACTAAGTTAATACTTGCTGCATAAATTGATTCCAACCCTTACAAATGCCAGCCAGCAAGGAAAGGCTGTGACACTTCGAGACTTGTGAAGATATGACAGTGTAGTAAAGGAAAGAAGAACTTTGTACATGCAAGTATTCAAAAATAGGATATATGCCAGAAAAAAGTGTCAAAGAACAGACACATGAAACAGTCTTCAGGTAATAAAACCATGTCAAACACAGCAACCAAATACAAACACCAAAATAACTTAAAAAAACTTGCTTTGCAAAGTGTTAGGAATTAACTCCTAAAACCAATCAAGGTGAGAAGTACTATTTATATAAGTCAACTAAAATACACTTAGTTCCGTAACTGCAGCAAACTTGTATATCCACCCTCACGTTCTAGTTGTGATGACATCACAAATTACTCTTGTATGGACAGCACTTAATTACACACACTGAAATCTAAATCTCTTTAAGTGGATATAACATGATCTGATTTTCAGAGAAGGATTTACTGTAAGGTGTCTGCTTAATTACAGTTTGGCTTGATCCTTAGTAAGAAGTGCTTTTCTGGGTTTACTTTTGGTATATTTGGTAGAGATTTTAGGGTTCTGTTTGTCTAAAATAAATTCAAAAATGACATTAACAAAACACTCACCACTTACAGTGTTAAAAATAATGCTTACACTCACAGAATAATGTGCAGAGAGGTCTCACATCCAGTGGAAATCTTTGTGTGTGTGTGCCCTAACAGAATTAGCTCCCCAAAAAAAAGCATGATTGGCCCAATTAAGACACAGAGATATTTTTAGAGCTATTGGGATTTTGTTTAAAGGGGTCATCTGTATTTCCAAGTATCTAAATACTATCAAGAGACAGAAATATGTCAACCTGAAATTACAGTAGACATGTCATGGCAGTGTTCCAAACTGTGACCCTCTAACATGAGTTTACATCGCTACGTTGGCAAAAAGAGCACGGAAGTTTTCTAAAGATGGCAGCCAAGGCACTTCAGCATGCAATATCACCCCGAAATTCTCACCTCTTTTGGGAGCAAGGAAATGAAGTCTCTTTGAAACTGGGGCTCTATCACTTGCATCATGTGTTTTACTTGTGTTGGTTCACAACTATCAATGAGTTCATCTAAAGCAAGTAACTTCTCTGGTCCGCTCCAGCTCTGCAAGGGAAGAAGAAAGAAAAAAAGAAAGAGTGAAAGAGTAAGCTTAGTTTAACAAACTGGTTTGGTTTATATCAGTAAGTGCCACTGCTGTGCCAATAAGGCAAATTAAGTTTCCTCATCGAACTATATACAAGCATATAAAAAGCCAGGAGATAAATGCTCATGCTAATGACACAAAAATGAGGAGTTAATCAACACAAAATATTCAAAATTACTACACTAATTCATAAGCTAAGAAAGGATTTGTTATACACACACATACAGATTGGCAATTAAATAGATAATAATATTTAGTAATAATAATTGAATTAATTAAGCTTCTTTTGAAGTTGATGAAATCTACACACATGCTACAGACAACAGAGGGGTTGCAATAGAATGAACTCCCTTTCTCTGTTGTGCATTCAAGTGAGATTATAGCTTTTAACCTTCATGTTTCATCTGGTAGACCAAAATCTTGAAATAAGAGGAAAGGAAAGTAAAAAACTTTCTTGAAAAGTACATTAGCTTACTCTTTTATTATTACAGTGTGTCCCTAAGTGACAATGTTGTAATTTCAGAATCCTGGCTATAAACCAATGCATATTTTGTAAGTATCAACTTACACTTGAATAAACAGGGAATTTTGATTGGTAATTTTCTTACTCCACATTTTTACTAATGGGTGCTATAAAATTTGAAGATTTTAATAAGGCACTCAATTGGGAGCATAGCAGATTAGGAGCATCATTTGTAGGAAAAAAAAATAGTAACTTAATATACTGAGGAGCTAAAAATCATGCCTTAAACTCATTTGTGCTCATCAAAGAGCTTTGATTCGTTATGTGAAAACAATTTAAAGAAAAAAATTACAGAAAAAAACAACAGCTACTGCTAGCTGATCTAGCAACAGAATTAGAGCACAAATAAAGCCTTAGAGAGAAAATGAGACATCACAGTTTTTGAGAGCAGATTCACATTCCTATTCTCAAATGTCTTCTGGAGTGACATTTACAAGTAAATTAGCACATACAAATGATATTACAGTTAACATAAGAGGCTAACTCAAACTTGAAAAAAGAGGGCAAGATACCTTACAATTTAATTTCTGTATTAGTCTGCCATGTATCTCAGAACCTTTACTACTCATGCTCTAAATCTGGATTTGACTCTGACAATTCACTCAGGTCTCCATAATACTACAATGTTAGTGTCCTGTGCAGTTTCTGCCAGAACAATGAGGAAAGTGAAGAAGGTGGAACTTCTGAAAGTGAATGCAAAGCAGCTAAATGCCCAGCTTTACTCAATGTAGGAAGATCACAGCATTGCATCATTTTTCCCTAATTAAAACATCAAAATAGTTGAAATGTCAGTAGAAGTATCATTTACCCAAAAGATGGCCATGGGGACTCTCAAGTGACCCGAGTGCCTCAGGCAGGGGAGGTGGCTCTGTCAGGGGGTGAGCACCCTCTGGGACTGCCTCACCCCACTGCCATGCCCCTGCCCTGCAGCAAATGTGTGCCAGCCACTGGGCAGCCTGCCCTAATGGAGGAGGAAGGTCCTGACCTGAGCCTTTCCACACACTGTGGGCAACTGGTAAAATGGTTTAAGCTGGTAAGAAAACATTCCCCATCCACCTGTGTGTATGCAGTGTCACCACAGCAGATGGGGGTTTCATGTCCCATACCCAGTGCCTCAGAATATTAAAAAAAACAAGACTGTCTCAGCCAAAGTTGCAGCAGTGTTGCTGTAAACAGCTTTTATTATAAATTTCTTTCAACAGAAACATTTGCATCACAGAGCAGTTCTCCATAAATCATGCACTAAAGAACTGTTTACCTCACCAACTTTCCAACTGCTGTTTGTTTCATTAACCCACAGCTTAGCTGGTGTTAGGCACAAACGTTTGCAGGCTTTAATGTCATCTGTCAGCCGTGTTTGAATTTAGGAGAATTAAAAAGAGGGAAAGTAATACTTGTGCTACTTCCTTATAATATAAATTTCCAAGGTCAGTCTACTCTTCATTTATAAGCAGCTACATTTACTAAATTAGAACAACTCTACCTGAAAAGCATTGTTTGCTGCTGTGGCAAATGTTGCTAGCAGTTACCAACATGTTATTGATTAATAATGTCAGTGTATGCTATCTTAATCTGTAACTCTCTTACACTTAGTTGGTTTTTAAAACTTAACACAGAACTGGACAGAAAAGGGAGAAGATTCAAGAATGGGAAAGAGTTGCTAATGACTAAAAGCAGAACCCTCTTTTATCTGTCTGTCATCATTAGGGGATGGATACAGGCAGCTTCCTACAGATCTTCTTAAGCAATCAACTGCTACAAAATGTTGTCTCTAGGACATTGTCCCTTCAGTCTTTCACTTAAGCAAACAAACCTCCAGCTACAGTTGGTAAGGGGTCTCTGAGGGAAATGTCTGGCATGAAAAATTGGGAGGAAGCCTTGCCAGATGAACACAACTGTTTGCATTAATGAAGACAAGACGAGCAAATTCTGTTTCTCGGCCCCGTAGCTTGATCCATTTGTGAGAAAACTGCATGTAGCTCATCAGGCAGAAGGGAAAAGGAGTAACTGTGGCTTTGATGAGAAACAACAGTGAACAAATATTGCAAAACAGAAAGAAAAAGTAACTGTGTGCCAGTTTGCAAAGTTTCAAACCTTGTAGATGACCAGAGACTTTTGAGACAGGTGGCATCGTGACTCGACACCTTGGATTTCTACCAGGCAATTCCCTTTCAAACTGAAGGTCCTTGTAAAGAATATACTTTAAAATTATTTTGCTTAATTGTCTTCCTTTGCTTTCCTTTTCTTCAAAACTGAAATTTAATTTTAACGTAAAATTGAACTAAAGTTTTTATTATGAGCAGGGGTTCCCTTAGGAAAGATAACTCCAGGATTCATTCACATAGCCCTTGGGAAGGTGGCAGGGCCCACTGATACTGCTCTTTGAATGATTTCAGAATCCTAAAGAAACATATCCCCTCTTTGCTCTCATTTCCTCAGGAAGGTGTTGATTTGTCAGCCAAAGCCTTTTGGCTGTTCATAGCATTTCCTCATCCACTAAAGCAGCTGCTGTAACAATGGCACTACCTAACTGAAAACTATCCCTTCTTTTCCCCCTTCGCTACTCTGGGTAAATGTCCTCCCTTTCTTACAATCAATATAAACAACATCTTTGCTGCTTCTACAACTTCCACCTCCACCTTCTCTCTGACCTGCCACCTGTTTTTTTATCATCATCTGTTTCTACCTCTCCTCTTCCATGACCTGCACTCTTCCTATTGCTCAGCTCTCATCTGCTACCTTCAATTTGTACAATTACAGCTTGCAGCAATTATATCCTTTTGTGATAATAGGTATATTAAGGACAATCTATTTTAAAGAGTTTAACTTCAGGGTGCTGTTCTCCATTACTAAATTCTGTTAATGGAGGTCTGTCATCACTGAGACCTGCAGAAGGGCTCTTCTTGGAGCCTGCTTCTGTCCAGCTCTGGGATCAGTTATCCAAAACCCTGCCATCCCCCACCTTGAGGGTATCTCAGTCTGGATAAAAATAACACACAAGCAGTGAAAGAAACACCATCTACAGCTGTAGAGCTGTACAGCAAGTAGTTTGTCACACCAGGAGAGACTCAGGAGCAGCTGGTGCTGAAGTCCCCTCATTAACCCATATCAGAGTCCCAGTCCCCAGCCTCGTCCCCTGGGCCGAACATTTGCAGCACAAGTGGTGGACCTTATCTAGAGGAGCTGTGACTGGCTCAAACCCTGCATCCCTGCTAGAGGTTGGATAACATAGAGTTTCCCTGAAACCAGCTGAATTTGTATGCAACAAAAATTGCCATGAGAGCCAAGCCAAAGGGATGGGCAGGAGACCTGCTGCAAGTCTGCAGGAGTGCTCTGAAACAAACCAGCAATGGTGATGCAGCCAACGGGGAGTGAAGCTGCAGTGCAGCTGCAGTGTAGGAGCTGCAAAGAAACTCCAACCCTTGACCTAGTCCCACCACAAGACACAGAGCAGAAAATGCTGCAATGCTGGTTATGGTACAATCTTCTTCTCATGCTTCACGTAAGAGTGGACTACTCAGTCGTACATGTATTCATTCCAAAGCACCTTTGGAAGGGAGAATGTAAGCAGTTTGAATTTAGGTGGCTAAGCCAACTATTTATGTAAAAAAAGAAAAGGAATGGTGCTCTTTCCAGCCAGATATGGCAAAAGCATTTTGGACACTATCTAAACTCCTGTGAAAAAGAGTGTTTCCAGCTGTAGGTAAAATGATAGCATTCACTAAGTATTCAAAATGATTGCCTATATTGGCGTGTATGGAACATTTTTCATGGAAAATCAATTTGCCATGAAAATGCCACTTTTTAGTAAATAACTTCAATAAAAAGTCCCAACACCCTAAGTATATCAAGTAGGAAGAACGGAGAGCTTAGTCATTTTTAAAGCAAATACCAACTCTGACAGAACTTAGCATCAGCTGACTTATTTTCCTTATGGCAAGCAATTTGGTGACCTAAAACCTCTTGTAAAAGGAAGAAATTTTGAAAAGACACATTTGGGCACTGGACTTTAAAAACTCTTAGAGTGGATTTTAAAAAGACCTGAAGTCAAGAGCCACTGCAAACCAGAAAAAATAAATAGGCCTTTAAGAAATTAACTGGTTTGAATCTAATAAAATGCCTTTCTGTTCTTCTCTCCAGACTTCATTGAAATCGATACACAATTTTATTTTTAAAGGGAAAGTGCAACTACACAACTTCTTCTCCCTTCTGCATTATTTTGTTACTTTAAAAATAAAAGGCTTAGATCAACTATAAAACATAACAAGAGGAAGTACATATAAAAAGTAAATTTTAAAAAAACCATTATAGACCATCTTAAGTTTTCTTAATATTTGCAGAGTGGTCTGGATTTTATCTGAAAAGATAACACAGGAGAAGGACTGAAGGCTACGTGGTGAGAGTCCTTGAAATAGCTAAGTAACACTGGTCACTGCCAGCTTCTACAGTTTTACATGAAACAGTACATATGTCCCCCTAACATGCCTCTAGAAATTCAGCTTTAAAATTATTTAGAAATATATTCTCATATTAAATAAGACAGCTATTAAGCTGGACTAGCAAGTACACAGTACACAAAGAAAGCTCTCTCATTCCTGTTTCTCTACAGGAAAAACTTTGTATTGCAAGAATGATGCTGCATGTGCCATTTAATCCTGCCCTTTGGGCAGCACTACCTCCCCTATGAATGTGCTTTTATCATTTGGCTGTTTAAGACCTGGCCCCTTTCATGAAACTCATGTGAAAAATAAGCACATAGAAAATGAGGAGGCAAGCAGATGAACGCTGAGATAGAACTACATGACTCTGAAAGCTTTTCTTCAAAAGTAAGGGACTCCTTTTGTGAATGCAATAAAAACTACCAGTGACAGACATGATCAATAAGTGCTGCTCAATGATCTCCAGTTAGGAGAGAGAGGCCTCCCTCAATAGTATAGATCAGCATTTAGGTATTTAGTACTGCAACTAAGTATTTTGACAAGTTGAAAGTATCTAAATATATATGTATTAAAACACATTTTCTACATTACACACTGTACACATTTGTCTACATAGGCAAAATTTTCATGGGCTTACATCCTAACCACACAGCAAATAGCATTGCTCTTACTGTCATGGGTGTCTGCACTACTCTCAAACACTTCAGCCTTTCAAAATCTTTTTCAAAAATATGTAACTGTCACTAACTATGAATCTTACATAAAAGTAGGTTACATATTGTAACAAAATAGCTTTTGTTAGTACAAATGTTCTAACATTACAAAATGTGAAAATACAGTGTAGTATTACATTACCATATAAATACACATAGTACCCTTCAAATATGATTCTTAGGGGTTAAAAAGACATATTTCTATGAACAGTCTCAAAAAAGATACACCACAGTAATTAAATGTGAATATTTTCAAGAAATTGAATGATGTGTATAAGAACCTTAATTTCAAGCTTCCACTGGTTTAAGCAGATCATAAATGTGTAAAAATAAAGAGGAAAGAGGTTCTACATTATTATTTTAATGTTCAGAACTGACAGTGATTGAGATCAATGGTATTATGTGGCAGCATGAATCAAGCCAAAGCACACTTCTGCCTGCAAAATTGTATGATAGATACCTGTATCTACAATATTGTTCTTTTATCTTTACCTCTTACAGTAATTGAAACAATGCCTGTATTTGTTAGTTGCTCCTTTTGAAAATGCTTTTAGAAGGAATGGCTTATTAATCAAGATAGCAAGGCATAATATTTTCATTTTTCAAATCAATGACCACGACTCAAACCTGCTTCTTAAAAATACAGAGCAAAATTTTATGATCTCAATGGTACACGTTGTGGACCAGAAGGAGAAGCTTGCCTCAAACTTTGCTTGTATTAACATATACAAAATTGTCTCAGGTGCTCCCTGACTGGGATCCAGGCAGATTTCAGTTTCAACCTGTGCAAGCAGTCCATAGCATTGTCCTTCACACCTTTTCTTTTGTCCAGATAGGTAATTTTTAGGCGTTGCTAAAGGCATTTTAAAAGATACAAAAACCTCTTCCTTCAGCTGTGTACACATGTGCTGGCTGACATGTTCAGTACACAGAGATCAGTAAAAATACACACTGAGTTTCCTTTTAATCTATTTTTGATAAACTTTTCTTTCTATTCTTAGAAGACACCAGACTTGTGACAAATCTAGAGCTATAACTGCACTGAAGCAAACCATGCACCAAAGCTTATTAGTCTCAAGCAAAAATGGCTTGAGACCATGCAGGTAGCCCTCACATATTGGACAGACTTTGCAGAAGATGTGAAAGCATTAAACAGGAAGGATTCTATTACTAAGAAACCAGCTAAAGCTGTTGTTTTTGGCTGAAACAGGGAACAAGTATTCCTTAAAGCTGATGCCCATTTGGTATTGCAAGAGAACACAAAATCAACGGCAGAGACAATTCTGGGACGTACAAGGAGAACCAACTCTACTGAAGCACTCCCTTACATAAAACCAAGGAGGCAGAGTTGCTTCAGATGCTTATTTCTGCAAGCATGGTTACCTGAAACATTTTCAGCCATTCCTGGAGGCCGGAGGGGGGCTGCACGGATGTGATGCGGCGCCGCTGCTGTCCCTGGCCGTTGGCTGCCCGCAGGTCCCCAAACGTCGTCGGCGTGGCAGAACATGGCACCAGCCCCGTGGTACTGCCATACAAATGAAAAGTGACAGCCACAGGTAAAACACCATGGAAAATCCACAGAGAACAAAAAAATCTAGTACATGATATGCAACTATCACTTCAACTCTTTAGCTTCATGCAAAAGCATTAGCGTGAAGAATTGTTCTGCTGGTCACTCAAGAGGCCAGTCCCTCACTTGGATAAATCTGCCTGCTTCTACCACTGCAGTGCCAGCCCTCCAACTAGGGGAGAAATAGGGATCACATTTCAAGGCTGAAAAATTATCACTCTATTAACTGCCCAGCAAGTTGTGTGTAAAGATACAGGTTTACACATTCCTTTCCTTGCCAGAGTATTTCCTTTCCTTCTGAGCTACACTGCTGCCTTCTGACAGGGGATGTAGGAAGCCAGATCTCAAGAGTTCCACCTGTATGTGAAATGTGCTAGTGCTGCCTCATCTCCAAAAGGGAAAAAAATATCTATTTTTAGGTTTTAATATATTTTGTTGATAAAGAGCTAGTAATATCAAACAGTTCTAGTGGCACAGTGGTCTGGAATTGGGCTTTGAAATACTCTATATGGTCTTTTAAAGATTGTGTGTTGATGGAATGACACAGGAATTAAAGGGGGGTGTGTGAAGTGAAAAGGGAAAAGCAGCCAAAGGTGCTCTCTGAATCACAGTTTGATTTTTTCACTCTGACATGTTAAAAACCAGCTCGTTCATACGGAATGGAGCTTTTAAAAGACCTGGGATTAAGCTACCATTGTGGGAGTCTAAAGAAATACAGCTGACTGTGTTTTCTAGTTTGGGGTTTTTTTTGTTTGGCTGGGGTTTTTTCATTTTCAGGATTGGTTTTTCTTTTGGTTTTCTTGTTCTTTCTTTCTTTTCTTGGGTTTTGTTGTTTTGGGGTTTTTTTTGTTTGGCTGGGGTTTTTTCATTTTCAGGATTGGTTTTTCTTTTGGTTTTCTGGGGTTTTGTTGTTTTGGGTTTTTTTTTTTTTTGGGGGGGGGGCATGTTTTTGTTTTGTTTTTTATACATAATGTAAAGTACTTAATTCAGAGACTATCAAAGCTGTATTCCCTAGCAGGAAATATGGAACCCCAGTAGTATTTGCACAAGCATGAGCACTTTAAATATAGTGTGAGACTCCAAAAAACCCTCTGCTTCTTTTAGTAGGAATGATCTTAGAGGGTTTACTGATTTTTCAGTGGCTACAGGAATAGCTTAAATGATGCAAGGCAAGTTCATTTGAATATTTACCTCATTATGCTCTACAAATATTTCACTCTACTCTTCCTTATTCTGAAGGACAATCATAGCATATCCTAACATTTACCCAAACTGGTCAAGAAAAGTAAAGATTGGTTTGAGCAGGCCTATTTTAACTGTTCATTTTGCTGAGTAATAACAGAAAGAGAGGCTGGTATGAAAATACTGTTTCAGAGATGAGGGGTCCTCCTAATGGCATTTGTTTACTGACTTTACCTGTTATATGCAAACAAAGTTCATCAGCTGGTCAATTTTAGAGTCCCTGATCCTTGGGAAACTGGAAACAAGCAGGCACAAGAATTGCATCATTTGCCTACATATTATTTTGATAAAACCAAATCAAAGAGTTTAAGAGAGAAGGACCAAATGTTATTTAAGGATTCTTTTATGCCAATAGCTACTCAAAATCCAAGTAATGTCAGTTAAAAGTATTTTTAAAATAAAAATGTGATTTTACAGCTTAGTCATTCCAATCACCTGCATAGAGATCAAGGCCTATCATTCAAGGTCCAAAATAAGGCACTTGAAATTATCTTTTATTGGTTCTGAGCAGTATGTAACCTTGAACTTGCCCCAGGTAGAACTGTTTCACTTTCTTCTGCTGTAAACTAGTTGTCAGTCAAAAACAGTTATTCAAAACAGGATCTGAAAGTTTCTTTCCTTTGACCTCAGATTAAACCACAAGACACTTGTTCATACTTCATTTTTCCTCTATATTTTCATCCTCCTGAAACAACGAGTCAGGTCCCTGTGGAAGCTGGACAAGTCCAGCAGTTCCTCTGAACCTGACAGACACATTTGACAAAAAAGCGCGTTTTCTTTGTTGCTGAACTGTTTACTTTTCTGGGACTGCAGAGAACTCCCAGTGGATCACCTTAAGAAATGGTGCCCAACAAGAGAGTCCTTCCATTACACAGACTCAGAAATCAGAACACACCACCTGCAGGCTTGGGGCGATGTGGAAGCTGCAACAAGTGCCTCTCAGCAACAGCACATCACCTCCTTTACTCTGCTGCAGTATTTACACATCTGAAAAGCAACCCTAGGACCTGCTGCCTAACTTTTCACCCATCACCTGATAAACCTCTTAAAGGAAGAGAAATAAAATATAAACTACTTTGCAAGAGCCATCAGTGACTGGACACTGCTGTAATGTGTTCAAAAGAAGTACCACTTCCAGAGAGCCTTGGGAGGCTCATGGGAGGGACGATGCTTATAGTGGGGAAAAAACACAAAATAGTGTAAATTCAAACAGGATGGGAAGCAGCGTGACATCCAAGCACAATTGTTATGGCAACTACATAGTAAGAATGCAGTTGTAAGGCGTGCATCCACAGCCCTGCTCTGCTGCTGCTGCTGCTCATGGTTAGGAGTGCTTTACCCCATGAAGCACCTGATGGGAACAGCAGCAGGGATTTGTGCTTCCAGGCACCACACAGGAGCAGCAAGGAAGCGGAGCAGAACCCCTAATACTTTCACATTGTGGAGAGCAAGTACGTGTGTGTTCCTGTTAAGATCAGATGGTCTGCTCTGCCTACGTGAATTTCCATTCTCTCATTCCTGTTACCATAGCAAAGTGATACATTTGATCACAGTTTTAATAGTCTTAGGGTTTATCGTTATGTCCCTTTTTAAAATCTGATTGACTTTATTACCAAGAATGCTCCAGCTCTTAAATAAATGGGCATGCTATATTTAGATTGAAACACAAACCTCAACTGAAGAAGTGCAAGTCTGGCTACTTCATTAAAACTCATCTTCAGTTCACGTAATTTAAATTAGCAAAGCAATATACAAATGCTGATACCACCTCTTCTTTGCTTTACAGTGTTTTAACATTAAGAGGAGCTTAATTAATCAGACTCAGCAATTGGAAAAACAGGATATATGCAGGAATCAGGATCCAGTGATCTGTCATTGCATTTAATTACCTTGTGTACTCTGAGACTTTGCAGGGTTTCTTTCCCAGAGAGAAAGAACGGACCTCGGAGCCATGGTCCAACTTTCTCTTCATCTGCAAGGTGAGGGAAAAAGAGTAACAACACGGATTTAGTTACCAATCAACCTTACTTATGTGTACTTCTGTAAAATTAACACATTTTTACCTTCTACTTTTATACCAATTTTCAAAAAGTTAACAATCATAAAATCACTTAAAGCAGCATTTTATTTTCTGAATTCAACAATATTTGATACATGTTTTATAGGGTGCATGTATATATTATTGCTCTTTTAGGTTCCAAAATCTACTGGAATTACATTCTTTTAATTCCCCAATTGTGCAAAAGTGTGCGGAACGGTGTTAATTTATTTTGTGTTGGTTTATTCACTAAACTGTTCTCTCTCTGTCCTCCCAGGAGAGGAGGGAAGGAACTAAGCCAAAGCCATGGATTCTTTGTGTTCAGGTTCATTGCTTAGTCTCTCATTGAATAGTTAAATTTTAGGTAGCCTATCTGCATTATAAACCATATTTATTTCAGGGCCTAAAAAAAAAAAAATTACTGTATATTTAGTCTATACTTTTATCTTAAAGCTGTACATTGAAAACATTTATAAAATTGCAGTAAAACTGAGTGACAGATTAACCAGTATTTTTCCAAGAAGGGTAAGGATGAAAAACATTACACCCCAGTCTCGAATGTCACCTGCAATTAGATATGATCAAAACCAAATAATGAGCAGGGCAGCTGCTAAAAGGGGAAGCCAGACTGCAAAAATTACCAAAGAGATGGAAACCTATGAAAGCCATATTTATCTAGGCAGACAAATAGAGATTACTTTCTACATATTTGGGTAATCTTTAACCACAGACTTTTGGACTAAATGAGACATACGTGTGCCAAATGCAACTTCTGAGTTTTGTTGGTTTTCCTTTTATTTTTTTGAGATGTGATACACCACAACAGTTTAGCCAGCTGAAGAATGTTTACTGCTGTTTACAACTGTGAGCTGCAAAATACATAAACTACTTGTATTACATTTTGACTTTAGTATAACCATTTGCTTTTTTCGAAACTTCATGTTTAAGATACAATTTAAAAGTTGGTATCTTTCTTACACAAACGATTTGATATTTTTTAATGTTGTATTATAACATAGTTATTTAACCATTTATTGTATCAGCCTAGCCACCTAAAATGAAATACCCCAAACCCAAGAGGATTCTCTAAAGCTTATGATCTATATACTTTTGTTGTCATTTTGGTTATTTATACTTTTAAAATACCCTTATGGCTTTACCTAAAAATGATCACTGAAGATCTTGTGTTCTGCTTCATTAGTGCTTACACAGGAAAGCTAAGGGCTGTTTTTATGGGAACAGCTACAACACAACCAGAAGAGCTTGCCTTGTAGCTGTGTTTTCTTGCCCATGCCTCACATGGGACACTCCACGGCATTTCACCAGACAAGCACTGAGCCAGAACCGCCCTGCATGCTGCCGAATCACCAGCCTCACCCTCACTGCTTCCCCACGCCCCAGGAGGAGCAGCCCCCCTGCTCCCCTCAAGAAAACCAGTTGCAAGGATCTCTGAAAAATAATGGATACCATCTTTTATTGCTGTGCTAGGTGGGTGAGCCATCAAAATTACCAGAAGCATAAGTAAGGTGTTTGAGAACAAATTTCAGTATTTGATGACAGACTTTTCAGAAAGGATTTTTCTTGTTCAAGAAAAATTTTTATTTCCAGCTTGCCTTTCTGAGAGGTTATGATCATCGTGTTCCTCTTCTGCTTCTCACAAGAGGGAGATGCAGTTTTGCAAAAGCACGTCTTAAAAATAAAAAGTAGAAAGCCTACAGCAGAATACTCAGCTCTGGTGATTTATTCTTTTGCGTTAGCGAAGAAAACAACATGTATTATGTTGCCTAATAATGATTTCACCTGTTTCTTTTGGCTGGGTTTTTTTTCAGATATTTTAGGCAACTTTCACACGGGGTCCACCACGCAGACTGACTTTCAGTATCTCAGAAGGTGCTAAGTAAATAGACGGCCAAAAATGCCGTTTATCATATGAAGAAGATAAAACTTTCTTAGAGCAGAGAGGTCTAGTGACAAGATTCAGACATCAGTACGGTCTCTGTGTAACCAAAACACAGAAACCGTCGAGCAAACACCCCTCTAAACATTTAATTTGTCGCTAGGAAAACACAACTCCTTCAGACAACATTTATTTATCAAACTAACCGAGACTGCAGAATATTAGCAATTTTTATAATACAGAATACATATTAAAAAATGAAAAGAAGGGGCAGCAAACTGCATTCCGCATCACCGCCCGCCACCAAGCGCTGGCAGCGCTCCCCGGCAGCGCACTGACTGCAGCTACGGCCGGGCGGCAGCCCCCGCCGCCGGCACGTCTCCGCCCGCGGACCGCCGGCGCGGAGGACGCGCGGCCCCCGCCCGCCCCTCCCTGCCGCCCTCGCCCTCCGCGGCCGCGCACCCGCGGGCAGGGGAGCGGAGGGGGCGCCCACTCACTTTGTAGAAGATCATCTTGAGGGTGCCGTAGAAGCCCATGGTGTCGGCGCGCTTCCCCTTGCGCGGCGGCGGCGGCGCCCCGCGGGCCCGGCGGCCGGGCAGGCGCTGGCAGTACAGCCCCTTCTCCGGCAGGTAGGTCACCGCCTCCCGCGCCGACATGCTCGGGCACGGCGGGCGGCGGCGGCGGCGCTGCTCGGCCCGGCTGGCCCGGCCCTGCCCTGCCCTGCCTGCGCGGAGGCGCCCGCCCCGTCCCTCCCTCCCCGCCCGCCTCCGCAGCGGCGGCGCGGCACTGCGGGATGCGCGGCCGGGAGGGACCCGCGGGCCCCGCCGGCGGGAATCCGCCCCCACCCCGCGCAGAGGGGAAGGAATTAAAAAAAATACCCCAGCGCTGCGCGGGTTTGGGGCTATTTCCCCCTTTCACCTTCGCCCCCCCTCCCGCCCCCTTCTCCCGCACCGCCTCCGAGGCAGGGGCTGCCCCCAGCCCTCGCTCTGTTCTCTCAGTGCCACTCTCTCCACGGTTTTCCAAGCGGGTACAAAACAAGCTCGTTTCCACTAATTATAATTATACCATCGCCCTCGGCGGGCCTGGCTGGACTCGTCCATGACTGCATTCCGTGGACAGACGCAAATCAGTCCTTCCAAAGTGCGGGTAATTTTAGAATAATTTGAAATGCACTACAGTTTTGCCAGGGAAAAAGATGCTGAAATACCCTCTATTGGCTAGACAATAGAATAAACGGTTTTTGAAGATTTAGGAGTTGAAAGACCCGAATCCAGCAATTATGTAATAGACATTAAACTAGTAATCCAGAGCAGAGCGGCGGCAGAGCTGTCGGAGGCAGGAGCGGGGTTTCCCCAGCAGGGAGGGAGGCAGGCAGCCTTCCCCGCGCACCTGGAGCAGCCTGGACGCGCTCACGCTCCCCTCTCCCGCACAAGGCAGCTCTTGGGCGGCACCAAGCCATTTTAGCTCGGGCTGCAAATCCTACGCAGGATTCTCACCTGTATTTCAGTGAAAGCACAAGGAAAGCCCTTGGTAATTACTTGCTAAAGAACGCTCCTTTTTTGGTCATTCTTCACATCAACAAATCTGTCCGGCTCACCCTTACGGCTCGATTCAAGGGCATTGAAGTTCCTGACATATGGCTGGGCTCTCAGACAGATACCTGGAACCGGCACAGCAGCTAGGCAGCTTGATTTTTTTTTTTTAGTTTCTATACAGACAACTCAAGAGACTTCAGCTTCAGAAATATTTCTTTCTTTTTTCCCTTCTCCTTTTTCCTCCTGCAAAGTTTTCTGCCCAAGTTCAGAACAGAGCATACCCCAAACATGATCTGAAGCTGCAGCATTCCCCTGTAATTTTCCCCAGGTGCAGTGAAAACTGGAGATGCTCAGCAGCCCTCCAGACCGATGCAGTCAAACAGAAGGAAGCATGTAGCCCTCTCCTGCTGACCTGAGGGGGAACTATCTTTTTCTTTATCACCCAAAGCAGCACAAAAAAAGGTTCTACCTTTACAGAACACACACCTAAAGGAGTGGAAGCACTTTCTGTAAAACCCATTAGCTTCCTCATTACTACTTTAAAAGAAATCTCATATGTAGTGGCAGGTGTTAGCACACCCAGATAAGGTGAAATCACTACCCTCACAGCACAGATTCTGCCTCTCTATGGTTTTATGTATCTCCCTTCCAGCACTGAGTCCTCACAGTGTTTTTCATCTCCCAGTGAAAATGGTTCTGCCCATCAAATCTTGGCATTTATGCCATTATCCACTAAACTGCAGTGCTGTATATTTTATGAGAACAAAATGGTCTTGAGTTGACTTCATACCTCAGATATGAACAGAGCTGTACATATCCCGGGAGACTATTACTGCTTTCCTTTGCTGGCACATCACATGCAAAACGGAAGGAAAAAAAAAACCACAGGCTGCATATACACATTGAATAATCACAGGAAGTAAATTAATACTCAAACCATCAGAGTAAGAAAGAATTTGAACATTATCACTGTGAGGACTTAGAAGTACTTTATATATGCATTTGCCTAATGTCCTGTGATTCTTGCAGCTCTCTCTGCCCCTTCTCCCATCAGTGAATGCACTCGATGTAGAGGGGGAAATGATGGCTACTCCTGCTCCAGCACAAAAACAGGAATGGGCAGGAAATCCCCGGGGATTAGCCTCTCCCCCAGCCCAAAGGCAAGTGTAATCTGACAGCATGGCTAGATTTATCTTTTCAACAAAATGTGCTCTGGAATTAAGCAGTCAATGAGTTGAATAATAATTAGAAATTACTATTTTCCTCTCTTTTGGAGTACTGCTATTGCAGATTACGTCTCTTTTGATCATGATTGGCAGATATTCTCTCATGGTAAAAAATCCCACTGACTTAACTACTAATCACTTTGCCACAGTCAGGACCCATGTAATAACCCCAACAATCATTTGCTAATGGTAGAAAACTTGGTATGTCAGGTATTTATTCTGCACAAAAGGTTTGGGTTTTTTTCCTAATTTTAGATACAGATACCACAGACAGAT